TTGTGCTCAACTTGCGTTCGCTCTCTAATCAAACAAATGCGTGGCGCTCACGCTCGTGCGCCGCAATCGCGTTGGTGAAAACAAGTAGAAACTTAACCATCCAGTCGTCCTACCTCTTTAAATCTCGACAGCTTTGATGTTGCAGGTGCGAGTGTACGCATAGAAATCCATCGGCCGTCGTGGTGACAAATTCGGAAAATCAGATTCATCTCTTTCGTTGTCTTACTTCTCTTTTTCCTCGTCCAAAACATACTGTAGACTGATTCGGAAACTGTCGTATTCTGATCCTGAATACGGACTGGCGTATATACTGATCCAGAGTGAGGTCATATAGTGATCTGTAATAAAAGTGTATACATATCAACCACCCCCTCAAGCTCCGCACATTATTCACTAGACCAAGAATGGGAAGCATGGGCAACATACTTACATGGCAGTGGCTTTGCTTCGTGGACACACCAGCCGTCATCGCGCCCAATGCAGGAGGTGGGGAGAGCCGCCGCGGCTGCGATAGCTCGACTACCAGGTTTAGTGTGGTAGAGCCATGCCATTATTGTAACAGTGGCATATTGACTGGTCAAGAATACGGTGGCGGGAAGCAAACCGAATCGTTTTGCTCCCAGAGCGGTGGATGAAGTGCGGCGTCGCCCCCACTGGCAGATTGGGCGACACTGCTTTTGAGCCGGGAAGGCAACGGTATGGGCAAGCATACGTCGCCCCCTTGGGCGACTTCCTCAAAATCACGCTAGGCAGTGGGTGCATCGGGAAAGCGTCCAACCCACGCCCAACCAGGGATGAAACAATGGCAGCATGACAGATCTCACCGGGCATTCAGGGCGTGAGTGGTGTGGGGGGGAAATACTTAGACTTTCAGATTCACCTACGATGTGTCCACGCGGGCCCTTGGCAGCCCAAAACGGCCTCCAAGATGGCTCAAGATAACCGAAGATGGTTTAACGTAGCTTCCCATATGCCCCCGAAAAACTCCAATGCAGCCCAAAAACAATTCCAAGTGCCCTTCGAGCATTCCCAGACAGCCTCGAAAATGCCCAAATCCTTCAAACACCTAAGGCACATCCATTTGTTTGGCCTTCTGGCTTTTCGCTGCCGATGGGCTTTATGCTCCAAGATGGCTCAAACGAACCTCAAGAGGGGCCCAAGAGCGCCCCGCGACGGACCCAATAACGCCAATGAGACGCCAAAAAGCGACCCCAGAGGGTCTCCCGCGACGCCTGAATTGTCCGCTCCACGCCCTTTTCGAGCCATGACTAGAGGCCTCCCAGATTCCATCAGTGAACTCCCAAAAAACCTGAAGCCCCCAAAACGAGCCCCAAGAGGGCCCCACGACTGCACCAAGAGGCCCCACGGGGACCCCAATGGAGCCCCACTAAGATGGCCCGAGTCGTCCTTCAAGAGCCTCTCACACCAACACATATCCAACACTCGACCTGTTAACCTCCTTGTCATCGTCCGTTTCTTCGTTCGTCCTTTGTTGCCTCCTCCCCCCTCCTTCCCCTCTTCCTCTTCCTCTTCCTTTTCATCACCATCATCGTCATCGTCATCATGGTGCCGCATTCCTCCTCCTCCTCCTCCTCCTGCTCCTCCTGCCCCAATATGGTCCCAGGTCGAGCATGGCTCAAAATAGCCGCAGACAAACCTACAAGAAGCTTCAATCCATCTTCGAGATGGCCCAAGATAGCTCAGCATGGCTCAAGATAACCTCAGACAACCTCTAGCCGTGCATTGCTCAAGATAGCCTCAAAGAGTCTTCAAGACATCTTCCGACCGTGTCTGGATGGGCTGGTGGGGATACGTGAAGTGTAAAGAACACTGGGGCTCGTTACCTCCAGGCGGACGGACCACGTAATTACCACACCGACCACGACATCTCGTTTTTCTAACATCGTGCAATGGCGGCACCAACTACCACCGACCACGGTCCAAACCGACACGCTTACCGATGATGCAATTGCTGTCCCCATGCCTAATCCTTTTGATCAATCCCAACCCCATCCTTGCCCCGATCGCTCCTACCGTTGCCGCTGCCGCTACACCACAGACCCCGCGTGCCACTCCGACTTTGCCTCAAGATGACGCAAAAAGCTTCCAAGGCGCCCCAAGAGGCTTCCAAGAGGAATTTCAACAAGTTCCTACAGGCAGAACTCATTGTCCTACCCCCCTTCTCGGCTTTCCGACGCTCCACGACGGCCCAAGAGGCCCCCTAGACCACCCCAAACGGGCCCAAGAGGCCTCCAAGAGGGCCGCAAGACGGCGTGACAACGCCCCAAAACGGCCCAAAACTTTCAAAAAGGCCCCAATCAAACAATGAACACGAACCGAATATAGGAGCCTTCCGCTTCAAGGGGCCCCCAGAATGCGCCAAAAGGCGCCCAAGCCCCCGAAATGCTTCTAAATGGTCCCCACGAGGCCTCGAAACTGCCTCCAACAGGCCCCCGAGAGGCCTCCCACGATATCCCAATGAACATCCACTAGGCTTATCACCCGCATCCCAGGCACGGTGGCAGGACTTGCCGTAGGCAGCCGGATACTTCTTCGTCGCCATTCGAATCGCACCATCAACCTCAATTCATTACAGCCGTTCGCGCGCCAGGTCGTCTACATTTGCGTTGGCAATATACACTACCTTCTGTTTGCGGTGATGTTCGTGGCATCGGACGCCACATATACTTCCACCAGTGTTTGGAAAACGTATCGTGGAGGCCCATGCTCCAGGGCTGACGGCGCGGCATTCGCTACATGTCTGTGGTAGTATGACACATGGCAGTAACGTGTGAACTCATATCAGGGGATGCGGCATCATGTCTTCTGTTTTCAAGGTTGTGGCCAATCCCAGCGCTAAGCCAAACAATGAGGGGGGCATTTGCCCCAAACGATGCTGGCACCTGGAGTTTCTGACCTTTCTTCAAAAAAAGAACTGGGCTGGTGTGCCACTCTGGCGGCCTTGTGGCCACCGTCGCCGCCCCGTCGCCGCCCGTCGTCTGGACCGGTTTGCTGCTCTGCCGGCGACATGGCCGCCGTCGCCGCCCCGTCGCCGCTTCATCACCGCCAGTCGTATGGGCCGGTGCGGCGGTCTGGCGGCCATGATGTCACCAGCGCCGCCCCGTCGTCGCTCGTCGCCGCCGTTGGGACTGCGCAACGTAGATTGCACCACATGAATGGTGCCACATAGAACGCGCCACATATATCGCTTTACGCCACTTGTACAACATTTCTTGGCCATATATTGCACCTCGCAGACTGCAACACAAATGTTGCACTACATAGAATGCACGATATACATTGCACCATTGTGTCACTCTCTCCGCGTGCGCCGGCTCAGTGCGCCCACGCTGGCGGTTCCAGCCACTATGGCCAAGGCAGCATCTGTGTGGATGCTCTCGCTAGTTGCAAGCACGCACGCGCCTGCACGACGCGGAACGTCATATTATTAGCATGGAAATACTACACGCGCGCTGCGACAGGGCCTCTTCAATTGGGCATGATCACCCTTGCTCATCGACCAGGCTCTTGTTAAACTTCGGGTGGACGCCTCGCAAAATGCAATCCGCCAGCCTTCGCCTGGCCTTGTCCGACCGTTTGGGATTAGCTGGCTACCCTGGGCACTGTGTGGCCAGGCCCTCTGCTCGCCGCCTCGCGTAGTACCACACGCCGTGCAGATCACGTAGCCGTGCGCCTCCTTCACCACGTGCAGGCGTTGCCGCACCGTCTCAGGGCCTTCCGCCGCCGAGCTCGAGGGAGGGCACGTGGCTGGCCTACTTCCTGCCACTTCCTCGGCCCGCCTCGGGTTGCGGCTGCTGCTGTTGCTGCTCCTCTCCGTCTGGCAGCCGTCGCCGCCCACATGAATTGCACAACATACGCTGCACCAACTAGATTGCACCACATCGATTGCAATCTTACATTTCACGACATATATTGCACAGCATACGTTGCACTACATCGATTGCGCATTGTAGATTGCACCAAATCTATCGCACACTATATACATGTAGGTAGGTATGTATATATGCATGCTTGTATGTATGTATGTATGTATGTATGTATGTATGTATGTATGTATGTATGTATGTATGTATGTATGTATAGATGTATGTATGCATATATATATATATATGTATTCACATTTAGCTTGCACATGGTAGAGTGTACATCATGCGTTGCCCAAGGCAATTTGCATCGCATCGGTTGCACAACATTTATTGCCCCACATAGATAGCACCATTCTCTCTCTATATATATATATATATATATACGTATTGATGGAGAGATATAGTTTGGGGTTCGCGCTGGCCGATATATCTTACCATACTTGCACCAAACCATGGAACGGTGTTCGCACCCAATCTCAGACCGTCCCGGGGAGAAGCAACCGTAACTTTGCGGGTGTTGGGATTCACAATCGGCAAAGGTTAACAAAAACCGTACAGGTAAGAAGGGATCGGACGTGCGCGGTGTGGGAAATGCTCGGAGCCGACACCGACGGCTGCACACTAGCCATAAAGACGGCAGCCGCTACAATTAGGTCGGGCCTGTCCACCTTCAGGGGAATTTTGGACGAAAAATAAAAAAATACCCAAGAAATGCCCCAAAGATGCCAAAACATACTCCCCAAAATAGTCCCCAGACTATTTTTTGACTGTTTTTGAATTTTCTTCCCGTAGAGGGACAAACCCGACTTAACGCTACAACACCCTGTCCTGTCCACCCACCGCTTTTGCCGCTGCCGCTCCTGGGCCGCCGGGCCCGTCGACCTCCTCCAGGAAGCTGGCCATATCCCTCGCGAGGCCTCGGAGGTGGGCCGCCGGAGCGGCTTCGCGCCGAGCGGTACACATAGTTTGTCGGTCGCAGCTCTGATAGGAGGCCGATCTCAGGCGTCTCGATACTCCAGACAAGCGCTCGTGATCTTTTCCATTCGAACGGTGTGCTTCCTAGCTCCGTAGCTTGCCTTCAGCTCGAATTAAGTAGAAAAAACCAACAACGCCTCTGGAGCACGGATGCGGTGGACGACGAGAACGGCGACGAGGACGAGGGATTGGGCTCTGAAAGGAGAGGAGGCGGGGGTGCCCAGACCACCGCTTCGCCCGAGACGCCCCAACAAGCTCGCCGCGAACGGGCAACAAGTACCTCGGGAGGAGGGGAAGGGAGGACGGGGGCCCAGCGCCGACCGAGAGGGAGCCAGCACGGGTGCTCCTATTGACGCCGCCAGTCATGGGGACGTCCAGGACGGGCAAGGAAGCCTCCTGGGGCCTTCGTTGCTGCTGCGCGTGGGGCACTGTCTTCGCAACCTGCGTGGCTGCGGGGGTCCTGGGGCCTTGCCTAGAGCGCGGGGGGGACGAGGTGTCCCTGGCTTCTTTTCCAAGGTGGGAGGGCCTGTTGAAATCAGTGCTGATTCCGCGCTCTCGGCTTCGGGTGGGCGGGTGCTGGCCCTGAGGTGTAGGGTCGGGTCCTCTGGGTCCTCCTGCTGGCACAAGTCCCCACCCCGTTGGGCGACTTCGGGGGACCGCTGTACTGCTCAGCCGCCCACACCACCAACACGCGCTCGCACGCACACGCACGCACGCGCGCGCACACGCACAGACACACAGACACACAGACACACACAAACACGAACACACGGACACACGGACACACGGACACACAGACACACAGACACACAGACACACACACACACAAATACGAACACACGGAGACACGGACCCAGACACACAGACACACTGGCACACAAACACACTGGCACACACAGGGACACACACACACAGACACACAGACACACATACACACAGACACGGTTTAGGAGTCGAATCCCCCCCTGCGAAACTCACCATTTCATTATATCATCCTCCGCCCTCTTTCTTCTCGCGTTCCCCTCTCTCTCTCTCTCTTTCTCTCTCTTTCTCTCTCCCTTCCCCAGGAGGAGGAGGCAGAGGCGGAGGAGATCAAGATCAAGATCAGCTCGGGGGGTCCGTGCAATCCTCTCTCCACTGCACTGCTGCGTGCTGTACTCTGAGGATGCTGTACCCTGAGAGGGAGCCTCGCGTAAACACATCTGCCTGCAAACTCCATGCGAAACTGTGCAGCGACTGTCGCACACTGCACAGGACAGCACTGGCCGATCGGGACCCCTGAGGAGGCACGCAGCCCCATACGGGGCCCGACACCGAAGCACAAGGGATCACGTTTCCTGCCTCCCACGACGACTCCCACGACGACCAGTCCCCCCGCCACGTCCGTTCCCTTGGCCTCGGCCTCGGCTACGCTGCAAATCAAAAACTGGTACGTCTGGCAAAAGTGCGCTCGCGTGCCCAATCGAGTGCCTCTCGCGACTCTGCTCAAGCACACCCGCTGGCACAATGCCGCTACTGCTGCTCAAGCCTCCTCCTCTAAGGATCGCCACAAGTCCCGCTCCAGTGGTCCCCTCGGGGCGGCTCCCATGAGCGGAACTCCTCCCTCCGACAAGATCAGCTGCTCCAACATCGGGCCAAGCGCGGCTCCGAGGCTGACCCCGCTGTCGTACTTCAGGGCGACCGTGGCCTTCTGGCTCTCCCCCTCCTTCTTCTTCTGGAGTCGCACCTTGAAGAAGCTGATCGCCCTGTTGAGGTCCGATTGCGAAATGTTGTGGAGCTTGGATTGCCAGATCTCGTGCATGTGCTCCTTCAGTACCGCCAGCTCCTTCTTCTTCGTCTCCGCGTCGCACTCGGGGATCGTTTTCGTCGCCCCGTAATGGCAGACCGCAAGCAAGATCGACAAGTGTGGGGGGCCGCGGGCCTTGTGATTCACTGTCTCGCCCTGCGACGCCTTCGCGCGCATCTGCTTGGACTCCTCGTCGTACGCTTTGCCCGCTGCCGCGGATGCGGCCACGAAACCCTGCCCTGCCTCGACCTCGAAACGCAAGTGCACCGAGGCGCTCAAGTCGGCGATCTCCCGCGAGTTGTTGAGCACCAGGCGCGCCAGGGGGTTCCACATCTTGCCGCCGCCTGCTTTGCCCTTGCCTGCGCCCTTCTTGGCCTGCTTGGCCTTGTTCTGTTCGGTGGCGGGTTGAGCGGTGCTCGAAGCCGGGGGGCCCTTGAACCAGGACGGAGGAGGCGCGGTCGTCTCGGCTTCCATCGCGGACGGAGGCATCTGGAAGGGCTCGGGGCTGAAATGGTTGCAAAGGCGCAGGAAGGTGTTCGACCAAGTGGCGACAGAGAGTGAATGTGTCGGAGCCTTCGTATTCGCAGAGAGGACAAGCATATGAGGATGGTGTCTGCAGTGTAGCCAAAGAATGTGGACCCCTAGTGACGCAATGCCCCCGATACAACGAGCTCACCAAGTGCCTGGAAGCCGTAATACGTGTAGCAAAGACCTGGTGGCAGTGAATGCAGATGTTGGTGGGGGTTAAGATGTGCAGGAGGCTCCGTAGGTGGTGATGATGACGAATATATTCAAGTAGACCCTTGCGCGAAGCATATGCATCGCCGCACACGACCCCCTCCTTGACCAGCCCACAGACATAGGGTAGTTCGGCATTAGGATAGTCTTGTGGACCTTGTGGACCTCCTCCCATAGTTTTGTGGACCTCCTCCCAGGGCGGGATCTGGACCGAGAAGTTGGCCTGCCTAAGCTCGGTAAAGTCAATAATCGTGAATTCCTCAGAGGCGTCTGGGTCCAGCAGCAAACGGAGATCCTCAGAAACCCTACGTACCCCCTCATATGGAAGACGCGTGCTGGCTATATCTAAGTCTGCCGTCACCTGGCGAGTCCAGGGCGAAGCCCACTGAGTAGGCCGTCCCCCGATGAGCTGGGGTTTGAAGCGATCAATTTCCGCATTCCCAAACAGAGCACACAGAGCCTGACCGTGATCCCCAGGAAAGCGGCTCCACCCCTGATACATTTTCAGCCTGCGGATAAGCATCTCCGTCTCCGAGGGGACAAGACGCAGCTTTGCGAGAACTTGCTTGTTGCTGAGGGTCTTAACGTGCGGGCCGTCATGATCAGCTGTTGCCCCCATCATCACGACCCTCCCCATTCGAGCCAGGCAACTATCGAGAATATCCGTATCAGTCTTGGAAAGCACGAAACTCTCGAGGCAGCTAAGAAGCGTGTTCTGCACAAAGCCGATGAATAGACTACGCTTCCATCGCCAGGGGACCCCAAGGCCCCAAGCACCCCCCAAGGAAGCGAAGCCACCTCGTGCGGCCGTACAGCGACGAAATACTTCGCTACGCGCGGACTCGCCCATAGACAGATAAGGCCCAAGATAACGAACTTCATCTTTGACTTTCCCCTCCAAGCGTGCATCAGGATATCCAGGAAGCCGCATAGCTCGAATGAGTTGCTTGCATATGTACCCTCTGCGCGAGAAGTGCATCAAAAACTCCTGTTTGGTTGCATTCTGCCCGTAGCCGTAGGCATGTAAATTCTGGTTGAGGCCCTGGTCAACGTCATTGAGCTTTTGGATGAATTCAGAAAAGGACATGTCAGAGTTGGCAATGATGATCTTATTAATATCATCCGCGTAACATCTGACATCCTACCCCTCCCTCCCATCCCTTACCATGGCGCTGATTTTCTCTATCCGCGGACGCGTGTCGTAGCGGACCTGTGGCTCCGCGCGCGTGTGCGTAGTGGGTGGTGGCGCGCGTGCGTGCGTGCGTGTGTGCGTGGTTGTGGTTGTTGTGGTGGTGGTGTGTATGTGTGTGTGTGCGCGTGTGTGCGCGTGTGCTGTGGTGTGACGTGGTGTGGCGTCTTGGTGGTTTGGTGGTGGGCCAGGTGCGTACGTGCGTGATGGCGGTGGTGGTGGTGGCGTTGGTGGTGTGTGTGTGTCTGTGTGTGTGCGTGTGTGTGCGTGTGTATATGTGTGTGTGTGTGTGCGTGTGTGCGTGCGTGCGTGCGTGCGTGTGTCTGTGTGTGCGCGCGTGTGATGTGGTGTGACGCGGTGTAGCGTGGTGGCGGTGGGCGGTGGTAGTGCGGTGGTGGTGGCGGTGCGCGGTGGTGGTGCGCGTGCGTGCGTGCGTGCATTGGTGGGTGGAACTGGCGGTGGGTGTGCGTGCGGCGGGGCGGGGCGTGGTGCGGCGCGGTGGTGGCGGGCGGATGGGCGCGCGAGAAAGAGGCCCGCGCTGGGGCGAGAACGCCATCCTGAACGACGGAGGCAAACACCGATCCGAAAATGAGGCCCACGCTGCAGCGGGAGCACGATTCGGAACGATTCGGGAGCAGAAATGAGGCCGGCGCCTCAGCGAGAGCAGCATTTTGAACAAAAAACGCAAGCGAAAACCTAACTCTGGGGAATCGTGTGTGTAAAAAAACAGTACGCGGTATGGGGGGGCGAATACGCAAAAGACGTCATCAGGGGAAGAGGGAAAGTAGTATAAAACAACTTTTTGTTGTTTATTAAACACACTTTTTTTTTGCCCCCCCCCCCCCCGACACCCTCGAAGCCCGAGGCGGAGGTGGAGGAGCCCGAGGCGGAGGTGGATGAGGAGGAGGCGGAGGCGGATGAGGAGGCGGAGGAGGAGGCGGAGGAGGCGGAGGAGGCGGAGGAGTGAGTGGGTCGTTCGATTTTTTCTTTTGGGTGGAAGCTCCGTCTGAATCGTTTCCGTTTCCTGTTCTCTCGCGCGTCGGTGGGGCATGGCCATCCACTTTGTTGCGCGTCGTGCCGCAATCGTATTGTATTAATCGCATTCTATTGAAGTCGTAGTAGTGCTCTGAGACAGTAGTAGTGGTAATAACAACGTAACGGTGGCTGTGGGAACAACACGGTCTTGTATCACCTTAATAGTCTAGCATCGCTGTAATATGGTCGAGCGGTTGTACTAGCAATTGCGTTGTAGGGGTAGTCGCACCCGAATATTGTGATAGTAAAACTGTTGTAGTAATGAGGTGGTAGTAATACCCTAGTATTGTAATAGCAACAGGCTAGGCTCTGGCGGATGTTAGGCCCAAGCCAAGGCTCAGGCTGAGGCTGGGGCTTATCTTAGGCTGAGGCTGAGGCTCAGGCTGAAGCTAGACTAAGGCTTAGGCTAGGCTTGGGATTGGCTTAGGCTGGGGCTTCCGCCGAAGCTCAGGCTGAGGTTTGGACGAGGCTCAGGCTAGGCTGAGGTGGAGGCTAGGCTGAGGCTTAGGCTTAGGCTGAGGTTTGGGTCAAGCTTAGACTATGCTTAGGCTTGCCTGGCTCCATTACAGTGCTGTAATAGGGATTGCCCAATGCCGTGTTATCGCAGCACGGCTGTATCATTATGATACTGTAATGCTGTAGTGGTGGCGCTGTAATAGTCGTAGTAGTAGTGGAGCTCTAACATCGGAGTGCTCAAGCAAGGTAGCCGTACCCTGGTACTGTATTGCCGTAGTAGTATGGTATTTTGATCATTCTATTGAAGTCGAAGTACTACTCTGGTGCAGTAGTGGCGGTACCACTCTAGTGGTGACTTGACGAGCAATGCAATATTGCAAAACTTCAATAGTGCAGCAGCATTATGGTACCGTCGTACTGTTGTAGTCGTAATAAGGTTGTGGGGAGTCGTAGTACTATAATAGTTTATTTGTGGTAATGTGGTAGTCGCAATAATGGGGTTGAGGTGCTGGCTAGGTTTGGGCTGAGGCTGAGGCTAGGCTTAGGCAGAGGCCAAGGCTGAGGCTGAGCCTCATGTTAGGCTGAGACTTAGACTGAGGCTGAGGCTCAGGCGATGCTGAAGCTTAGGATGCGATTCGGCTAGGCTGAGGCTTAGGCGAGGCTGAGGCTTAGGATGGGATTCGGCTAGGCTGAGGCTTAGGCGAGGCTGAGGCTTAGGACGGGATTCGGCTAGGCTGGTTCAGGCTGATGCTTAGGCTAGGCGGCGGTGCTTAGGCGTAGGCTGAGTTTCAGGCCAGGTTCAGGCAATGCTTAGGCTGAAGCTGAGGCTGAGGCTGAGGCCAGGCTTAGGCTAGGCTGAGACAGAGGCTGAGGCTGGGCAGAGGCAGAGGCAGAGGCAGAGGCTGAGGCTGAGGCTAGGTTTCGGCTAAATTCTGGCTGGGACTTAAGCTAGGTGAGGCTGATGCTTCGGCTAAGCTTAGGCTGATGATTCGGCTGAGGACGGTGGGGAGAGAGAGAGAGAGAGAGAGAGGGAGAGACAGAACGACAGAGGGAAAGAGAGAGAGAGAGAGAGACGAGAGGAGAGGGGAGGATGCGCCGAGAAAAAGCACAGCGGGCATACCGCGCCGATACCAGCAGAAAGCTGACGACGCGCTCCGCCTCCCACAACACATAATCCTTAAACACGCAGGGGGGGGATTCGACCCCTGAACCCACAGACACACAAGCACAGAGACACACAGATACGCACAGGCACGCACAGACACACACACACACACATATTCACACATAGACACAACGACACAGAAACACAACGACACACAGACACACACAAACACGAACACACGGACACACAAACGCACGGAGACACGAACACACGGACACACCGAGACACGGACACACGGACCCAAACACACATACACACAGACACACACACACACCACAACACGCACACAAACACACACAACCACACACATACACACACCAACCCACACAAAACCACACCCACTAACACACACAACACACACACACACCAGCACACAACCACAGACACAAGCACACACACCAAAACACACACAAACCACACATAACAAAACACACGCACAAACACACACACAACACTATACACACAACAACACACACAACAACACAAACACAACAGCACACACAACAGTACACACACACTCACACATAAGCGCACACACAAACACACACAACCGCACAACATCAACACAATCAAAACAATTACACAATCACACGCGCACGCGATCAAACCAATCACACAATCACACAATCACACAAACACACAACCACACACTCACACAAACACACAACCACACACCACACACAACACTACACGAACACACAAACACACACACACACAATTACACACACAAACACAGAAACACAGAAACACAGAAACACACACACCACACACCACACACAGCACACACGCAGCACACAACCACACACTCAGCACACACACAGCACACACATCACACAACACACACATACATCACACATCACACACAACACACATAACAGACCAACACACAGCCACACACACCAACGCATACACACAAACACACAAACACACAAACACAAACACACATCAACACACACACATCCACACACTCACACACACACACCCACACACGCACACACCCACCCACCCACACATCCACACACCCACCCACACTTCACACACACACACCACACACACGCACACACCCACCCACCCACACATCCACACACCCACCCACACTTCCACCCACACACACACACCCACACAAACACACACCCACACACACACACCCACGGACACCCACACACCCACACACCCACACCCACACCCACACCCACACCCACACACACCCACAAACACCCCCACACACACACACACACACACACGCACCCACACACCCACACACCTACAGAGACACAGAGACACAGAGACACAGAGACACAGAGACACATAGACACAGACACACAGGCACACACAGACACACACAGACACACACAGGCACACAAGCACACAGAAACGCACAGAAACGCACAGACACGCACAGACACACATACAAACGCACAGACACGCACAAAAACGCACAGACACGCACAGGCACGCACAGACACGCACAGACACACAGACACACAGACACACACACGCACACGCACACGCACACGCACACGCACACGCACACGCACACGCACACGCACACGCGCACGCACACGCCCACGCACACGCACACGCACACGCGCACGCGCACGCGCACGCGCACGCGCACACGCACACGCACACGCACACACACACAGACACACACAGACACAATCACACATCGACACACATCTAGACACACACAATCACACACACAAACACACACACAGACACACGCACACACACACCACCACACCCACCACACACACATACCCAAGGAACACACCCACCCACCACACACAAGAAAACCTCGAATTCGAGCTTCGAGCCTCGAACTTGTCGCACCGCAACCCTCGATCTGTCGAACCTCGAGCCTCGGGCCCCGAACCTGCGAGCTGTTCCCGAACTTCAACGCTCGAAATCGGCACCCAATGAAATTTCTGGCGTAAAAGTACTGGTCAAAGTAAGGCCCTGCTGTCCCCCAGCGTGATCCGGGAAACCCTAAAAACTCTTGATCCGGGACAGTATTACAAGAGGCAAAACGTGGTCCAGGAGTTCATGAGCTTAGTGCAGTCCAGGGCAACTTCGGCGCGAAGACGGGGGGCCCGAACCAGGAGTTAGCCCTGACCACCCGCTGCCCGGATTACTCGGGACTTTTATCGAGCCCCGACCGTGCTTCCTCGACCCTGCATCTTCAAACCTCGAGCCTCGAGCCGCGAGCGCACACTCCCTAAGGGCGCAGTCCGCCGAGGCCCTGGCGCAGCTCGCGCGCCCAACCCAGGCGCGAGCCACCCTCCGTCGTGGAAGGCGCCGGCGCCACCGGCGCGGGCGTCGGCGCCGCCTCCAGCCGTCGTCGTCGTCGTCGTCGTCGTCGTCGTCGTCGTCGTCGTCGTTGTCGTCGCCGTCGCCGCCGTCGCCGTCGCCGCCGCCGACGCCGCCGTCGCCGTCCCCGTCGTCGCCACCGCCGCCGCCGCCGCCGCCGCCGCCAATGTCGTCGTCGTCGTCGTCGTCGTCGTCGTCGTCGTCGTCGTCGTCGTCACGGTCGCCCGTCGATGCTGGCGTTGTGGTCGTCCGCGGTCGTCGTGGTCAGCGCCGTGATGGTCGTCCTCATCGTCGTCGTCGTCGTCGTCGTCGTCGTCGTCGTTTTCCGGGCGGCACGGCGGTCGGGGTGGCACGTCGTCGTCGCTGTGGTTGCCGTCGTGGTCGTCGTCGCGGTCGTCGTGTCATGGGCCGTCCGGGTGGTGATTCTCGCCGTCGGGGGAATTTTTGGAATTGCGCTCTGGTTCGCCGAGGGGGCGGTCAGCTTGGTGCGGCACTCGCTAGCTGCGGGCAAAAACGCGCGGCATCCAGCAACAGGGGCGCCAAGGTGTAACTGCTCCGCCCGACCCAACCCATACCGCCCCACCCTTCATCGTCGGAAGGCGCTCAAGGCGCATCGCAACGCCGCAGGGGGACGGCAGAGGCAAGAGGAGGCATATCAAAGAGGAGTGCAGGTGAGATGGCCTGCGGAAGGCCGAAAGCCAGCTACGTGGGCTGGTGCAACGCAGGGGCCACCGGGAGTGCACGATATTCACACGCTCGACCTGCGTCCCGTGCCTGCACCAACGCCTCAGAGCAACCCTCGTCCCCACCGACACGCCTAAACACAACCCTCCAATCCCTCCGCCCATCTATCATGGACGTGTGTGACAGCACATCACGTCGACCACGCGAGACGCTCGCTGATCAGGAGGGGGAGGGAGGAAACTATGGAGGAGAAGGGAATATGACAGGTCAGGAGAGAAGGAGTGGGCAAGACGACGTCTGGGACACGCATGCCGCATGCTCACGACTACATCCTGCAGAACTAGGAAAAAGGAAATGCTAGGGCATAGCCGCATCTCCTAAGTGAAGCCTCTGAGACACATAACTACGCTTGCCATGACAGGAAGAAGGGTAGTTATCTTCGCACCCACGCGAAGCACCGACGCGATTGTCGTCGCGCTATGCCGAGGGGGAAGAAACGTGGCAAAGCCATCTGTTGATCAGTCGAGCCATCCAAAAGCCTTAATAAAACCTGAAATTTGAAATTTCATTTTTCCCTGCAACGGCTGCTGCAGCCGTTGCAGAAAATCCTGCAACGGCTGCTGCAGCCGTTGCAGGTATTCTCCTCCTCTCCCTCCTCTGCCTCCTCTGCCCCCTCTACCGCCCCTGGCTCTGCCTCCTCAGGCTTAGGCTCCTCTTTGGCTCTGGCGTTGGCGGCCCTGGCGCTGGCTCATCTGGCGTTGGCGGCGCTGGCGCTGGCACCGTCTCGTCTGCGTGTGGCGGGGGTGCCCCCCCTGGCTGTAGCTCTGGCGGGGGTGCTTCCTTTGGGGGTGGCAGAGGCGGAGCCGCCGTCCCTGGCTGCGGCGCTGCTGGCTCCGCTGGCCCAAGCGCAGCGGCAGCTGGCGCTTGCTGCGCCTCTTGCTCATGGGCAGCTGCCCCTGGCGGGCGCCAATCTGTCGGTCGGAGATGCGTGGCCGGGGGGGGGGGGGTGCCGGGCCGGGTCGCTGGCCAGTCTGCCTGGCGCGGTTCGCGCAAGCAGCAGTGCGCCTTCAACGAGCCTTCAGGCACCTCGGCGCCGCCACTGCGGCGACAGATGTTTACCATCCCTGTCTTGCCGTACTGCGCCATACGCGGAAGGGATTGCGTCTCGGGGTTCTTCGCCCACTCGCCCTCGAAGTTCTCCCCCGTGAACGCGTTCGCGCCGTGCCATCGCGCGCCTAGGCTGCGGCGCGTGCGCCCGCATGTGCCATCTGGCTGGCATTTGGCAGGCATCGCTCGCGCAGGCCCCCTGCGCGCGCGCGCCGCCGCCCCGCGGGGCAGCCCTTTGAAACGAAAGAAGGCGTCGCGGACGAACAAGCAGGGAGAGGCGCACTGCGGAGGGCAAGGGGGCAAGACCATTGGCTGCGGAGGGGCAGGCGGAGAAGCGAGCGAGAAGCGCGGGGGGGGGGGGGGGGGCGGGCGCAGGGGCTGTGTTTTCCTTGCGGACCGTCAAGGCATCACTTTGTGAATGGGTCTCGCTGGCGCCGGCGCCTGCGCCGCCGCGATTCGCCGATGGGGGCCCCAGGGCGAGCGGGGCCCCCGCCGCAGGACAATGGTTAGGTACGGAACGGAGCCGCCACTGCGGCTTTAGGCTGCAGGAAGTTTCTGCATCAACGCGGCCATGTGCGCTTCCAGGTACAGCCTGCAGGCCTCCTTCTGCTGCAAATGACTGGCCCCGTGCCACGCGCAGGGAAGCTCGCCGCCGGCGTAAGCTTGCAACCACTTCGCGCGGGTGAAAGTGGCCAGCTGGCACGCGACAACCTTCCCGTGCAAGTCCCCCGCGCGCGTGACCGTTCCCTCCCGCGCGCCCTTGCATTCCTTGGTGGGGAGCAGCCATCGGCACGTGTAGCCAGCGTGCGCGGTGTCCTGGGCACTGACCGCCTGGTCCACAGGAACTGGTGGACTGGCGGCTTTTGTCGGCGTCTGTGAGCCCGCGCTCTCTCCAGAGGGCAGGCTATCTTGCGAGTCCGTCCTGTTAGCGGCAGCCGCCACTGCGGCGTAGTCTTCGCCTGGGTTCTGAACCAGCGGGGCCCCTGCCAGATCGCGCTCGGGCCTGAGCCGCTCGAAGAGCCAGGGCGCGTCCGTCTCGCGGACCCAGTGCTCGTTCATCATGAACGAGATCAGGCGCGCCCCCCTCTCGCCCGTCATATCGGGGAACTCGAGCGGGCACTTCTCACGCGCGGAATAAATGACGATGCGCCCCGGCACCTTTTGTTTCTTTGTCGCTGCCGCTACGGGATCTGCCGCTGCGGGGTCGGGCAGGTCGAGCAGGGCGCCCATGGCGTCCTCTCCCTTGTCGTCCTCGCCAGCCGCCACTGCGGCGTCCTCGGCTCGCGCTTGGGCCTCGAGCGCGTCCGCGATCTCCTTCCACGCGCGCCCCTGCACATAAGCCCCGTTTGAATTCCCGAGCGTGTAGCCGAGCGCGTGGACTACCCACGGCAGGCCCAGAGAGAAGTGGGCGAACTTCACGCGCCCTGTGACGGTGCAGATCTCCTAGGTCTCCAAGAGCGCGCGCGGCCGCCCCAGACAGATAATCGTTCGCCCAGCTGCGCGGGTTCCCACTGGGGGGAAGCACGCGCGCTCTTCGACTTCCCCATGGACGCCGCTGCGTCGCCCGCCGCGCAAGCGGAGCCGAAGGGGGCGAGCGTCTGCGCTGGGGCCGATGCGCTGCGGCGGCGCCGCGCAGCATTGCTCTCGAGCTCCCCGTCCTGCCACGCGGCGCTGCCCGCCACCCCTCCCTCCGACCATGTCCCCGCGCTGCTCGTCCGACATCCCCCCTCCTCCTCCCCCTTCCAACCCGTCCTCCTCTTCCTCCTCCTCCTCCTCCCTCCTCTTTCCTCTCTCCTCCCTCCCCCCATCCTCCCCCTCTCTTCTCCCTCTCCTCCGCCTCCTCCCTCCGGCGCCCTCGAAGCCTCCGGCGGCTCCTTTCGGCACCGGCCCCCCTCGGGAGACCCCCTGGCCCCGCGCCCTGCGCCGGCTGCAGCAGCCGCTGCAGGCCCCCAGGGCCCCCCCCCAGATCCTGCGCCAGCTGCGGCAGCCGTTGCAGGATCTGGGGCCGGGGGGCTCGGGGAGCTGGCGCCAGAAGGAGCCGCCAGAGGCTTCGAGGGCGCTGGAGGGAGGATGCGGAGGAGAGGGGGAAGAGAAGAGGAGGAGGGAGGATGGAGGAGGGAGGGGAGAGGAAGGAGGAGAGCGGGGGGCGCTCCCCCCACTTCAGCACGCCTGCGCTCCTCACTGTTCTCGCCGCCGTGCCGGCGCACCCGTCCGCGTCGGAGCATGGGCGCCACTGCGTGGGCGCCACTGCGTCCATCGGAACATGGGCGCCACTGCGTGCTCCGCTTCAGATGTCCTGGCGGCCATTTTCGTCGAAACCGGTTTTGTGCTGCTGCGGCTGGCTCTTCGCCTTCGTTCTGGCCTTCTTCGCGGCTTTCCTCCAGTCGGTCGGGGCCGCTTCCTTCTTCCTCTTCGCGCGTGTGTCTTCCATGATCAGTTCCTCGCCCGCCTGGAGATCCACCGCACTGGTCGCCCCTGGGATTCGGGCGCAGATGACCTGGCCGCAGATGGCTATGTTCACTTTCTTCGGCGCGAGCTCCACGTTAAAACGCGCTCGCCCCGCCTCTGCTTCACTGGCGCTTCGCGTTCCAAGCTCTTCGGCCGTGAGCTTCGTCGCGCTCCAGAAGGGGTCGTGGGCCCCTTGCCCGCCCGCATCCACTCTCGTTGAGCGGGGCCCGCCCCCTCCGCATCGTAGGGCGTCTTGCTTTCGGGCGCGGCAAGCTCTGGATGCATGTAGAACGAAATCTTCACAGGCTCTTCTGGGCTCTTGGCCCGCACTTCCACGTGAACCTTGTCCTTGTGGCTGCTCGCGTCCCACGCTTTGTTCTGCTTCGGCGCACATGGCCGCAGCGCGAGTTTGCCAGCCGCCACTGCGGCTTTGGTGCACACTTTCACTTTGTTGGTCGTTGTGCGGCGGCTCAGGGCCACAGGTGGGTTCGATTCTGTGCCCTGTTCAACGCGCGAACAGAGCGCCAAGTGCTTCTGCCGTAGCACGTGCAGCACCGCCCCCATGTAGGCCCCCATCTTGCCCATGTCCCTGGCGGCTGCCTGGCCCGGCCACTCCGTGACTGGCAGTGGCAAACGCGTCGCTGGCCTCTCTCCCTTCCTAACGGTGGCCTGTTCGTTCTCGGGACGCCCAGTGATCGCGTTGAAAGTGATCGCCGCGGGCGGCGCGGCGGGCCCGCCCCCCTTTTCCTGAGCCGACGTTGCGGTTGTCTTTTCTTCGGGCAGCAGCGTTGCAAAGTCGAACCAATTCCAATCCACCTGTGCCTGGGCGGTTGCCATGGGCGCGGCAGCTTTTTCTGCTGGTAGGGCGTCCGCGTGCGCCGCCCTGCACCCCTGCAGGAACGCCTGGCGGGCCTTCGCCGTCGATGGGGTTGGCCCCCCTTGACCGCGACAGCCATAGCGTTGGCGCACTGGATGTTGATGTTGGTCAGAAACTGAACCACCGCCGAGGCCATGTTGTCCAGGTGCTTCGCGATGTCGGTTCTCAGGGCCGCGTGGTGCGCGTGGAGAACATCCTCCATGAGCCGCAGCTGCGGCTCCAGGGTTCGCTGCTTCCACGCGTGTTCGGGCTCCATGCACCAGCCTGGTGCCCCCCCGTCTGTTTGGAAGCCTTCTTGGGCGGCAACCTGTAGGCCCGCATGATGATGGCCACCTTCGCGCGGGGGAACTGCGTGCTCACCTCCCAACGCAGGCAGGCGCAACATTCTCGTAGCAGAATTGACGTACGCCTCGACGAAGTCGATGAGTTCCCGTATGTGAGGGCCTCCATCGGCGCCCAGGTTCAGGATGAAGTCGAAGAAATCGCAGAAGGGGGGGTCGGAAGGGGGGGCTCCCCAGTCGGGCACCTGCCGCCTGCATCGCGCTCTCGTAGGTGATTGTGTCGCTGCCGTCCGCCTGTGCGTTCTTGATCTCTGAGGGGGGTGCTTTCATCGCCTCCAGCTCCGACATCCGCGTGGAGAACGCCTGTGGCCGGTTAGTGGCCTGGGCTATCATGGGGCAGTTCTGTTTGCCCCACGTGACGTCAGGGCCCAGCGCCTCGAAGAGCACCCCCCCTTCACGAGTTTCTGCGCCGCAAACTGTGGAGCCAAACAATGGGGCCATACAGTGTGAAACCAAACGGGGTGAAATGTGCCACCGCGAAGGCCGCGTGCGAACCTGCCGCGTGTTTATTATATTTCTGGGCGCTGAGAAGCAAGCGAAAGCGCGCATGCGAGAAACACGAAAATGCGCAAACGAACAACAACACAAAACATATTATAGAAAAAACTTTAAGATGCATTGAGAATGAGAAAAAAAACAGACCGAGACAGAGAGACAGAAACAGAGAGACAATGGTCCGGTCTTTTTTTCAAAACAAAAAAAAAACACCTTTTTCGCATTCCGAGGGTTGGGAAGTGCAGAACCCCAGGAGCGCTGCAACGGCTGCTGCAGCCGTTGCAGGACCGCCAGGGGGGTGCGCGTAAAATTTGAGATTCAATTTTTATTAAGGCTTTTGGATTAGGGGGGGGGGCTCCGGACAGACCAGTCTTGCCATTCGCGGGGGGCCGCGATACTCGCAGCCAGAACCGCATCAGGATCGGCCGGGCTGCGCGCGGGTGGCGGGGGGGGAGTGGGCAGAGGGCCCGGCTGCGCCCACCTACGCACGCGCCGAACAAACATGCTATCATTCACAATGGCAGCAACGCGAGCAGCTGATGATATAGGCCCGCTGCAAACAATAGGAATAGAAACTACTGGGATTCGCTGCGCACGGACCCATTTCCACTGCAAGCCGAATCTTTGAACAGGCGGGCGGCTGGAGGGCAAGAAAATCACACGCTCATGTCGAACTGCATTGCTTGTCTCGCGATCGGCGCCTCTCGTGCCGAGGGCCTGGAGATGTGCGACATCGTCGGTGTCAGCAGTGCTATGCGAGAGGTCCCCTTCCGCATCTTCTGGCAGGCCGTCATCAGCATCGTCCGATGCACGCGCATCACCACGAGGGGGAACGCGAGCGGCAGCAGGCCGATGGCCTCCGGACGCGGTGACAGGAGGCCGAAGGGGGCGAGCGCCAGCCGTCCGCTCCGGGCTCGGCGGCTCCCGAGCGCGACCAGCGGCCGCAGCAGCAAACTTCGGAGCTCCAGCAGCAGCAGCAGCAAGCTCCCGCGCGCCCACCGGGCCCGCAGCCCACAGCGGGTCGGCCTGGGCCGCTGCATGCGGCAGGGCTGGCTCGCTGGGGTGTGCCATCTGCGCCGTGGAGGTCCCGTCGTTGTCCTTGTGCACCTTGAACTGGGGCCACTTGCCAAGTCAAGGCGAATCCGCCACGTGGCCGCGAACTCATCGGGAAGGCGAGCCACGGGAACAGGCCATCGGCCGCGCAAGACTTTGGCCAACGCCACCACTAGCGCCGGGGCCGCAACCAGGGCCGAGGGCGGGGCAGCCACCGCCTTCGCCAGCGCCGGTGGCGAAGCAGCACGGTCCAGAGCCTCTGGAAACGCAGCGCCATCGGGACGCGCAGGCGGGCCGGCACGAGGCAAAACGCGCTCATCCTCTCGACCGTCATGTGCGGGTGGTGGCGGCAGCAGACAGAGCGGCGGCAGTCCGGGAGCATCATGTGCAGGTGGTGGCCGCAGCACTGGTAGCTGCGGCAGAGGGCGCGAAGCGCTCGCCGAGGAACGCGGCGGGGCGCAGGGTGCACTGCGGGGTACAGCAGGGCAAGCGGCGCCAGGGGCCACGCCAGCGGCCGCAGCAACCAGGTCCGGAGCGCCACCACGAGCAGCCTCGGCCCCCACTCTAGGAGGCGCAAGCGGCGCTGGCGAGGGCGTGGGCCACCGCACGGGCGCGGCAGAAGCTGGAGGCGGAAGCGGAGCCGGCAGCCAGCGCCAAGCAGCCGCCTGCGCCTCGGCGCCCTCGGGCCGCTCCACGTGCATCGGCATCGCCTGGACGTGTCGCTGACCCAGGAACTCGGCGTTGCGCCAGAGGATGGCGGCCAGCCCTTGCGAGACACCTTCATACGGGCCAGGCGTCCGCTCCAGAGCCCTCGCCAGGCCGGGCTTTAGCACCACGTTGCCGACGGCGACAGTGGCGCCGGCATCCGCCCTGGGAACTACCGTGGGCGCCGCGCCAGTTGGCACGGCGGCAGGGGCGGTCGCAGTGCTGGCCACGGCATCCACAATCGGCGGCATGTCATCGATCTGGACGTCTGGTTGAACTTCAGGCCGAGCACGAAAACGAGCTTGGGCATCGGCAGCATCGACTGCGCGAGCGAGGCTACCCACGTCGCGCAAGCAAGGTCGGTTGCCGACTCGTGCCGCGAAGCCGAGCCTGCGCACGGCGGCGCGCAGGGGCGGTCTCGGCCAGTCACCATGGCGCTGGCCGGAAGCATCTCGCGGCGCGCGGCTGTCCCGGGAGAAGGGGGCGGTCGGGACGGCGCACATGGGCCCCAACCCCCCCCGTGGGAAATGTCCCCACCGGGGCCGGAGCCTTCTTGAGCCAAAATGGCTACGGCCGTCGGGGGACGAAGGGAGGGAAGCGGCCGCCTCTGGGGGAGGCGTCGGCACGGGCGCTGGCAGCTGCTTCGGGGCGGCGTCCACCTTGGGTGCGCCGGGGAGGGCGGCAAGGGTCTTCCTCGTGTCCGCGCCTGGAGGGGGGCATTCGGCAGAAGGGGAGGGCCTTCTCGGAATGCTCAACCTCAGGCCTGTCCGCTTCTCGCTGCCCCCATCGGAGCGCCGTCGAGGAAACGGGACAGTGGAGAACGCCACCACCCCGCCATCGACTCAGCGTTGAAGTAAACCGCAGATGCGTGAGTTTAACATACGGGCCGCCATTGCTCCACGAGCGCACGTCATGCCACCACGGAGCAAAACCCTCGAATCGAGGCGGCGCAAAACGATCGTGGCAGCTTTGTTTTCTGCATTGTTGGCCTCCGCCCCGAAGCCACGCGGCCAGCTTCACTTCTGGCCAGGGGCCGCCCGCACGCGCAACCGATTGCACGTTGCAAAAAGGTAGGAAAACATGTGTACAATGCCCGACGACAAATGCTGTCCAAAGCCGACAGCGGCCGCTGTTGGGCAGGCGGCCTTCTGTCTCAAATGGATAGCGTCCGCATCGACACCGACAGCGAGTCCTGTTCAAAACGATCAGGACGTGCTGTCTGTCTTTGTACCCGTTATTTCCCTACCGATTTCGATCGTCCCGATCTAAAGGGGAACGTCACGGGAGTTGGCTCAGGGGGGAGGCATCGAATCGGAATCGGCGGTACATCGACGACAGGTCGGCGATTGGCCCTCGATTTAGCCACCAATCCCCACGCTCCCACGCAACCTCGGACGTCGGGGCCTCTACTAGCGATCGCTGGGTCCAGTAGGGTTGAAAACAACCCCAATAAGGGCTCCAGAGAATCAGCGTCAACGTCGTCGTCGTCGTCGTCGTCGTCGTCGTCGTCGTCGTCGTCGTCGTCGTCCTCCCTCAGGGTCGGCAGCGCCGGCCGCGAGGCGGAGTGGGTCATGGGGGCCCCGATCTGCGACCAGTGAGTGGTGGAGGGTCCATGCGTGGCCCCCTGAGCCTATCCCCCCCCGGCATTGCCCCCGATACACCCCCCTCACCCCTATCAGCCTCTTTCCCGCGGCCTAACCCGCCCTGCTCCCGGGCCAACTCCGACATAGCCAGTCCCCCCGCATTCCGCGTGGTGGGCCACGGGGGCCTTTGTCGGCGACCAGCGGGCGATAGAAGGAGCAGCGAAAAGGGCCGATCGATCGGCGACAGGCCCCGACAGTTAGCTCCGCGTACCCGGGCGCGGCGGGCCATCGGGGCCCCATATCGGCGACCCAGGTGGGCGAAGGAGGGTCGATGCATCGCCCCCCTGAGCCTGGAGCTGCTCGACCTCGGCTTCTCGGCCTGAAGCGAGGACGAGGAGGAGGAGGAGGAGGAGGAGGAGGAGGAGGAGGAGGAGGGGGAGGAGGAGGAGGAGGAGAGGAGGAGGAGGAGGAGGAGGGGGAGGAGGGGGGAGAGGAGGAGAGGAGGAGGTGGAGGATGAGAAAGAGGAGGAGGAGGAACATGAGATGGGAGGAGGAGGAGGAGGAAGAGGAAATGGGGAAGAGGAGGCTGAGGAGGAGGACGAAGGAGGAGGAGGAGGAGGAGAAGGAGAAGGAGGAGGAGTCGTATGAGTTTTAACAGACACCGCACATGAACACACGAAGCAGAACAGCACGTGCAGGACGACGGCAATGATGCCGATGTACACCCACTCCATCGTTGAAGAGAGAACGAACCACGCGATGCTCAAGTCCACCAGGCGCCTTCAGAGCGCGAAGCGCCTCCGCCAAAGAAACATCACCGTCACGAACATCATCCCGAAGTTCGAACGGACCGAGGATACGACGGAACCCGAGCCGCTCGGCACGGGCGAGGACCACTTCGTCCGACTCGTCGGCAACGTGTTGAGCGTCATGTACAAAACTGGCTCCTGCTGCATACTCCCCGTCGGGAGCGAGAAAGGTACAGCGCTCTCCTCCTCAGAATCATCCGTGGCAGGGGAGGGGCCCCATCCATGGGAAACTTGTAATTGTACAAGCCAACGCCAGGCGGTGCCTCACCGCCGCAACTGCTATCGTCGATGCTGGCGCCACAGAAGACGACGGAAAGCGAAATCTTTGCGATATCGTCCATGGCGGGCGCCTCCGACGGCTCCCAGACACCAGGCCAGATCACCGAGGGCACCACGTCACCAGGAAGAGGACCGATGAGAGAAGGCTGAAACTCCTGCGACTGGTCCAAAACAGGAGTGGGACGACCAAGAGCCGCCTGGTCGGTGGGCGCCAGCACCTCCGCCACGTCGGGGGGCGCGTGCATCCCAACACAAAACTCCTCGAACACCGACGCCTTGAACGCGCCTGGCGGGGCCGCCCGCAAAGAAGAGGCAGCAGCAGGCGGCGGGGCGTGCTTCGCCCAGTTTGCCTGAGCATTCAGGTCCTCGAAATCCTCGAGGTTGAACCGCGGCGCCAGCAGGCGCGCCGCCGCCAGGGCCTCGCCGAAGGACCGAATATGGGCGCCCATGGCGTCGCTGAGTGCACAACGTCCCTCCAACGCCGCCCGCAACGCCATGACGCGGATGTCGACGGCCTGCGCGCGGCCGAACCCCAAGGCAGCGCGCCGCTCGCGCCGCAGCCGGCGGGCTGGCGCCCTCGCGCTCGCAGACGCCCATGCTGCGCCATTGCCGGAATGCATGGCCACTCGCGGCGCGGAGCACCAAGGGCCTGTCGTGAGCTGGGCTCGCCTTAGCAACAGTTTTCAAGGGGGAGGAGGAGGTGGAGGTGGAGGCGGAGGCGAAGGCGGAGGCGGAGGCCATGCTGCGCCATTGCCGGAATGCATGGCCACTCGCGGCGCGGAGCACCAAGGGCCTGTCGTGAGCTGGGCTCGCCTTAGCAACAGTTTTCAAGGGGGAGGAGGAGGTGGAGGTGGAGGCGGAGGCGAAGGCGGAGGCGGAGGCGGAGGAGGAGGAGGAGGAGAGAGGTGGAGAGAAAAGGAGGAGGGGGAGGAGGAGGAGGAGGAGGAGGAGGAAGAGGAGGAGGAGGAGAAGGAGGAGGAGGAGAAGGAGGAAGAGGAGGAGGAGGAGGAACATCAGCAAGGAGAAGTATGCAGCTGCTGCCGCTGCAGATGACGATGATGATGATGCTGTTGCTGAT